GTTATAGTGCCTTTTAATCCACCTTCCACTTTCCTTAATATGTTTTCTTGCTACATGATCTGGCAGGGCTGGTGAGCTTAAAGTGTTTTCTAGTATGCATTCTTTTTCTAAAAGCCTTATGTCTTGCTGTAATAAACGTATACTTCAACATGAAAATGGGCATAAAAAAAAGGTGAGAGATACACTTTTAGGTCATCATAAGAAAAAAATATAAGCAACTTACATGATCTTTAAACTGTTATTAGATAGCCAGGAAATTTTATTATTATTATTTTGAAATTTATTCTCTTAGGTAACATCTTTGTTCACTCTGTCTTCATCTCATTTTAAGATATTGAGATTCTTGCCCTAGCCAGTGGTTGGCAAACTGCGGCTCATGAGCCACATGCGGCTCTTTGGCCCCTTGAGTGTGGCTCTTCCACAAAATACCACGTACGGGCGTGCATGTACAATGTGACTGAAACTTCGTGGCCCATGCGCAGAAGTCGGTATTTTGTGGGAGAGCCACACTCAAGGGGCCAAAGAGCCACATGTGGCTCACGAGCCGCAGTTTGCTGACCACTGCCTAGCCGGTTTGGTTCAGTGGATAGAGCATCGGCCTGAGGATTGGAGTCCCAGGTTCAATTCCAGTCAAGGGCATGTACCTTGGTTGCAGGCATATCCCCAGTAGTGGGTATGCAGGAGGCAGCTGATCGATGTTTCTACTCTCTATCCTTCTCCCTTCCTCTCTGTAAAAAATCAATAAAATATATTTTTAAAAAAGAGGTATATAGTATCTAGAAAGTAAAAATAATTCTCATGGACAGAAGCACGCTGCACCTCTGAGAGATTGTGAGGTTGTTCATTACTCCTTTTAATGCTAACATATTTGATGACCTGTTGGGTTACTAAAGGTGTACACCAGCCCAAGGAGTTATTTTTTCATACATCTAAATTTAAGAAAGGCATTTCGTATCCTGGCAAAGGCATTTCACTTACACTGAAGGGTTGTGGTAACTATGGCAACACAGCAACTTGAAACATTTCTTAGGTAAGATGACTTTAAATAGGTTTGGACACTCATAGTCCTTATTACCCTGTGTTGAAATGGCTTGTTTGCTTGTCCACCTTCTCAATTGGATCCATCTCCTGAGATGGATGGTAATTCAGAGTGGACACTGAATTTTGTTCACCATAATATTTCCATGATCTAGCTGAGGGCTCAGCATTACAATTTGGGGTTCAATAATTATCTGATGATTGACTGACTGAAAAAATCTCATGCTCTGATATAGATTCTAATTTGGACAGAAGGCGAAGGAAAACATGGTGGCCATGTCATTTGGCATAAGCTTCTCGATGTGACTTTACATCAGAGGTGGCCTATTTCCTCATCATGGGACCCTTTCCTCAAAATGGCTCCAAGTGCTTAGGTCCCGACAAATTTCGGCTTAGGCCCATCCCTTTCCCAGTTGTTTGGATGACACGTGTTGTAGACACTTTTGCTTCAGGCTCCTTAATCACCATTACCAATTCTTTGGCTTTGTTTAAGGGTAAAAAATGAGAGCTCAGGAATAGTGTAAAACCAATGCCAAACCATTATCAAAAGCAAGAGTGTCTGCAACCAGTCTACAAAGTTTGCCAGTTTCTCCTTGTTTAACACATCATTCCGTATTAAGCAGTAGAAGTTGCCCAATAATATGTGTCTTGCCCATCTGTACACAGTCTTAAATAAGGACATACAATCAAATAATAACTTTTGGATATTGTTCTGTCTGCACATTTTCTGTCATTATTACTGTCAGAATGACTCTCTGCTATGGAACATGAAGCTGATTTAAGATATGTTCTCAGCAGTACAATTAAAAGTTAATGAGACCAATATTATATAAGGCCTGGATGTAATAGACAGGCCAGAGCACTTCTCATAACAGTCACTATTAATTAATTAACTAATTAATTAATTAATTAATTAATTAATTTATAGAAGTAGGGAGGAGGGGCAGAGGGAGAGAAAGTGTCATAAAAATATTACAGTTTAGAATTTATTATATCATCATTTTATAAATAGTTAATTTTGAAAGAATCTTAGCCCAAATTTTTCTCTTGCAGGCATTTTTTAAAAAAGAAAGTATTTACATTTAAAATATTAACATTTTGTCAGAGAAAAATGAAATGCAGATAAAATGCCTTAGTATATTAATCTTTATAAAGTCTATATTCATCATGATAGCTGTATATTTTCTATTTAATATAGTAATATGAAATCTAGATTACAGACATAAAAATATTCTGATGGTACAGTTTTGCAAGATAAGTGATGTTATTAGGGCAAACAATAAGGCTTTTAGTGTTATGCATTAATATTTCATTTTAAATAATTGTGTGATTATCCTTTTAGAAACATATGGATTCCCTAACACTTTTGTTTTATAACCTCATTCTTAGAAATTCCAGTGGCTTGTTTTCTTGTATTTTCCTTAATTGTGGTGATCTTAAACAGATCTTCAGTTTTAAAGCTGCCAGTTGTCCTAATGCAGATGCATAAATACATTTTCTCCAGTTGGCTGTTTATTACAAAGACAGCTTGTTTTTGGGTACCATCAGGACATCTGCATTTTATTGGATTTAATTTTTAGTAATAAAGACCTCCCACATTACAGATTCTTTCCAGCCTAAATTAGCCTGTGTGGGAAGCAAAGGAACCATCAGTCAGGGAGAAAAAGTGAATCCATATGGCGCTGATGCTTCTGTTTCCCTGCCTACAATGAAGAAAGGTTGAGCAAAGACAGTGCCCCCAGCAGATCCCTGTTTCTTTCTCACAGCCTTGCTAGAAAAGAGTTGATGTCAGTCCCAACCCAGTCACTTTCAGCCAATCCAGTTCATTAATGTGCCATGCATCAAGCCATAGATGAGTACTGACGTTTCAAGGACGTATTCTCCTTTGCCTCTCAGCTTGCTCTGTTTCTTTTGCCTGAATGCCCAGTCCCTGGCTCTTGCCCCTCTCTTCCATTTTGGGGCTCACTTCTGCCCCTTGGACATGGATTTTGTTTTCCCCAGTTCAATTCTAAGTACTCTCTAAGAGCTCTGGCTCAATTCTATGATATAAAAAAATCTAAGAAACCCTGCATGTGTCAAAAAGTAGTCAAAATACTTTATCTTCAGCTTTTTAATGGTAACCAACCAAATCTAGTAATAGAACTTGAATAGCTGATGATCTTCTTCACTTGTACAGGTTATACATAATGCCCCACTGTGCAGAGAACAGACAGGAACTGAAAGTTTTCTTTCAATTGACACCCAGGTACCTGGAACAGTTCATTTCTCTTGGTCAATACCACCCATGGGATGACGATGAGGAAACTGGGCATAGCACACTCTTTACTATCAGTGTTACCGCCCTCAGCATGAACAAGAAGAGCCTATTTTCTCAGCCTCTTGTCAACTCTGAATCTCAGCCAGTGAACAAACTCTGCTTCTTAAAACACTGCTTTTGTTCATGTAAGTTTAAATTTAAATTTAATTCAACCAGTTTTATAGTTGCAGCGGGTGATGCAAATTTTGATAAGACATAAAAAAATGTATCTAGTGTAGTGGGTAGAATCCACCCACAACCACAAAATAAAATAAAAAAGGTATGTTCAAGCTTCTAACCCCTGTTACCTATGAATATGACCTTATTTGCAAACAGAGTCTTTGCATATGAAACTAAGTTAAGATGAGGTCATACTATATTATGGTGGGCCCTCGTTCAATGACTGGTACCCTTATGGAAAAGGAAATTTGGACACAGACAAATAGGGAAAATAACGTAATGATGGAGACAGAGATTTGAGTGATATGCCTAAACCAAGGAAGGCCAACAATTTCTGGCAACCCCTAGAAGTTACCAAGAGGCAGGGAAGGCATGAGCCATGAGAAAAAGCATGGCCCTGCGGACATCTTGACTTTGGACTTGTAGCCCCCAGAAGACATGTCTGCTGTTTTAAGCCACTTAGTTTGTGGCCATCAGTTAGGAAACGAATACACTAGTGAACTAGGCAGAAATATGATCAGTAAACTGTAATAGAGGTTTAGAGTTATGGAAGCGAACAGAAAGGAGACTTCACTTCCTAACTGTCCTGTGTCACAGACAGCAATTCTGAGAACACCAGGTTTCCTTTGCAAAACCGTAGGAAGCTACCTGACTTTTTGACTGCCCGTGTGATTTAAAATCAGCCACTTCGCCTCTGAACCCGTTTCTCATCAGCGTGAGAGGGCTCTGGCCCACAAGATGACCTCTTAAGTCTGTTCCACTTTTTAATTTGTAACATATTCTGTTTTTTTCTTTAATTATGTATGTATAGGAAGTTATCAAGTTAAGGGGTTAAAAACTCACTTATGGGATTTAGTGTCTTCTCTCCCTGCCCCTCTCACCCCCAAAAGCGGAGAAGTGTGTGAAACTAGAGTATTCTTATTCTCATTCGCGGTGTATAGAGCTGAAGGGCAAACAGTCTCTCGGCTTAGGCGCTGCTCAAGTCTCCTCCTCTTTGGCAAGCATGTTTGAATAAAGGAATAATTAAACACTAATGTCTGTCCATGGGCTAATCAACCTAGCAGCACAGAGGAGAGGAAATTAACATGGAGGTGAATCTGGGCCTAAGCAGACTCCCGGAGCAAACGTTTAAACCCTCTAAGCTTGTCTTCTTATCAGTAAAATGGCGATAACAGTGGCATTTCACTGGGTTGTTGCGAGGATGAAATGAAACAGAATGCTGCATATATGTTAATAAGTGCCCGGTATCTCGAGTGCCCTTGAAAATGTGAGCTGTTCACAAGACTCTCGCTTACAGAAAGGACACGAACACCTGCCAGGGTCTCCCTGCCCGCGCCCTGGTCCCCCTGCCCGCGCCCTGGTCCCCCTGCCCGCGCCCTGGGTTGGAGTCTCGGGTCCCCGGGAGCCAGCCAGGCACCCCAGCTCCTCCGCCCTCCACCCGCCGGGAGCGCTGCGCGGCCGGGGGCGGGGCGGGGAGGCGGAAGCGCGCGCGCGCCGCTGTCAGCTGCGCCGGAAGTTCCCGGCCGGGCTGGCGGTAACCTTGGGGTCCACGCCGGCGCGATCGCCGTGGTGGTGGGCTTGGCGAGTCCGCGCCGCCGCCCGGGCCAGGCCTGTTAGCTGCCGGGAGCCGCCGGGGTCGCGGAGGAGGGCGCGGAGGGCCGCGGGCGCAGGAACCGCGGGCGCAGGGTCGCCCCGCCGACATGTCTCTCGTGGCGGAAGCCTTCGTCTCGCAGATCGCAGGTAGCGCGCGTGGCCCGGGGCCGCGGGGGAGGCGGGGGCTGGCGCGGGCCAGCGGCGGGGAGCAGCGTGCGGTTTAGGGCCGCAGCTCACCCCCGGGCTGGCGGCCTGAGAGGCGGAACCCAGGCCTGAGGAAGGAGGCGGCGCGGCGACCAGCCTTCTACCGCGGATGGGAAAACTGAGGGGAGGCGCGGGGCCAAGGTCACCTCGCCGTGGCGGGAGCGCGGCTGCTCCCCCGGGCGGTGCTGTCCGGCCCCCTGTCGGCCGGAGGGGCGGGCGGCGGCGGCGGCGGGCTGGGATTGGGGTGGGGGCGTGGCCACCGGGGCCCGGCGGCCCGAGGCTCCGTGGGAGCGGGAGCGGCCTCGGTGGTGAGACCTGAAGGGTAAGGTGAGGGCCACTCGGAAGTCGTCCGAGTGACCTTTTGTCATTGAGGGGCCACCGAAGCGTTCGTTTTATCTCCAAGAGACGCAACAGAGCCACATGCTAGGTCGCTAGGATTCACGGAAGCATCTTTAAATCTACATGTCCTTAAAAAATACTTACTAAAATTTTTTAAAAAAATCCTCACCCGAGGACATTTTTTTGCTCTGTTTTTAGAGAGAGAAGGGGGGGGGGGGAGAGAAACATTGATGTGCATCGATCAGGTGCCTCCTGCCCTTGCCCTGACTGCAGTCTATGTGCCCTTGACCTGGAATCTACTGGAATCTAACCCTCCTGTGTGTGGCCAACCACAGAGCAACACCGACTACAGTGAAATATATATATATATATATATATTTAAATCCTCATCTGAGGATTTGCTCTCTGTTATAGAATTTGAGAGAGAAAGAGAGAGAAACATGGATGGGTCGCTCCCATATGCCTCCCACTGGGGGCGGCACCTGCAGCTGTGTTTGTGTTTGGGGGGACTCCAGCCAACGGAGCCACCAGGCCAGGGCCACACGGGTTTTTTAAAACACCTTTGATTTGATGGGCTGACATAACTAACACCCAGAGATTCTTCTTCAGGGGATTCAATCTGATAGAAATGTAAGGACCAGTTCTTAAAGAAATACACAGAAAAATAAAAGAAGTATAAAATGATATTTGTAAGAGCAGAAAACCAGAAATGTCCTAATTATATATCAAGTCGTCTGCTCACATAATTACAGAGACTAAAAATGAAGAAGTGCACTTGTTGAATATATTGGCTTGAGTTATGATTATCTTAAGTAAAAAGCAAGTTATAGAATAAATATATATTGTATCAGCCCATTATTGTTAAATAAATGCTGTGTAAACATGTATATGTAAGCCAAAAAAAAAAAAAAAAACCCACAGAAAAATATTCAACTAATTTTAAGGAGTAATTTCAAGGGTAATCAGGATAGGGCATTGGTGGAAGGTGGAGGAACTACATTTCTGAATTGTTTAAATTGTTCTAGTGAGAATATTTTACTTTTGTAATTTAAGCGATTCTAATTTTAAAGATTTTACTTTGGCAAGCAGTAAAAAAAAGGGTAGATGAAATAATAATTTACATGAAACCCTGTGTTTGACTTGAAGTGACATCTAAGTGTGACTCAAATCCAACAACTATTCAGAATCTTCTATTTTTGGCAGTAATATGATTTTGTTGGAAGAGCTCAACCTCAGGAGATTTGAGAGATATACATACATAGTCCTGTTTTAACTTAATAAATCATTGTGAATCTGTTTTTGTAGTCGAGCGCTTTCATTTTTAATGTATTTAACACTTTGCTCATTATTCTTCCCTTCAGTGGCTGTGAGCCACCACAATGTTTGATATTTCTTTTGGAAACATTTAAAGACCTCTTGCCTGTAAGGCTGTCTGTGATATCTGGGGAGCCTTATTCACAAGGACATCTTTTTGGAAGCCTTCTCTGAACCCCCCAGGTTAAGTGAACCACTTTTGTCTCCACTACCAGTGTGTCCCCCACTAAGTTCTCTCAGTTCTTACTCCCGCGACTCTGGCTTATTCTCTCCATCTCCACTGCTCTTCTTGCTTGGATTACTGTTGTAGTCTCTGAATTGATTTCCCTGCGTCCAGTCTAGTCTCCTTCCAATACAGTCTCCACACTGCAAGCCTCAGTGGGGTTTTGTTTGTGTTGTTTTATTTTTATGTTGCTAAAATGCAAATGTGATCCTCTTGTTTTAATACCTTCATTCGTTACCCATTGTCAGTAGGTGGAGGGAGCATGTCAGACTCTCCATAAGTTATCCAAGCCTGTCTAGCCTCCTCTCTTGTCACTCCTTTCCTGAACATTCTCCTTTCTAAACTTTGTCCACCTTTGGCACATGTTGCCCTCTGCCCGAAATGTCCGCTTTGCTTGGATAACTCCTGTTTGTCTTTTAAGGCTTTTGGCACATTTTAACCTGTAAGTCTGCCTGACATTTCCCCCTCTCAAATGAGAAAGGTTTATTTCTTTTCTGAAAAATTATGATACATGGCCATTGTAGAAAATGAAAATAACTTCCTCCCCCAAATAAATATAAAAAGAATGAAGTAAGGATCACCTAATATCGTAACACCCAGATTAAGACTTTAAAACCCCATCCTCATCATTAAAACTTTGGTAAGCAAAGCTATTTCTATCTCTTTCCCTAATATTGAAAAATGACATAAAGGTAAAATATGCATACTTCTTTGTAATCTGTTTTGTCATATGTCATGTCTATGAATGGAGTTATACATCATCATTTAAAAGTGGTCATACAGTATTTCATTGTAATAAAAATTGTAATTTAGTTATCTAGTCTTATTCTGATGGGTATGTAGGGTGTGTATTAGTTCAACAGAGAAGCAGAAGCAGTAGGAGCTCTATATCTCTATCTTTATCTCTGTGTCTCTGCACACACACACAATTGACTTATGCTGTTGTGTGGGTTGACCACCCAAGTACTAAGTCCACAAGGCAGACAGACAGGAGTGGGAGATCCAGGAGAGAGAGAGCACATGTAGCAGGTGCTGCTTGCAGTGTCTGATCTCTGGGAGGACTTAGAGCCTCTGTTAAAGGGTTTCCAACTGATTAATAGGTCCACCCAGGATAATCTCCCTTTTTATTAAAGTCAGCTAATCGAGGGACTTTAGTTATATCAGCAAAATCCCTTCACAGCAGTGAGTTTGAATAACCAGGAGGTGTTTTACATGCTATAGGGTGACTCTTACCCCTTCTGTTTTCCTAAAGTCTGTGAGAGAAGATTCCTTGTAGCTCACCCTAATCAGAAATATAGTAGAAAGGGAATTCTGGCAAATATTAGTTTGGTCTAGCCAAGTTGATGCATCCTAAAGCCATCACAGGTATATGTGATTTTTCTCTGTATAAGTAGTGTTTGCATAGATATGTTTGTATCTAATGAGTAGTTTCTTTGGATAAATTTCTTAAAATGGAAAAGGAATTTGAATTGTTCTTTTAATTCAGTAACATGGAAAGGAATGGTAAAGCATGAATTTTGAACTAGTAGTTTGGGTTGTTGGATTTTTATGTGGTAGATTTAGAAATTTAGAAGAAAGATAAAAACAGTCCTGGATATTGAATGGATTTCAAACCTTTTATAACAGCCTGTGTATTTAAAATTTTGACTGCATTTTTTTCTTTTAATGACAGGGTATTCCAGTACATTACTTCAATTTCTGTTTTTGTTTTTTAGAAATTTTTCACTGTTAGTTGAGTATGAATATATCCAAGGGGAGGATTAAGCAGCCCTATGTGAGTTGTGTGACCACATTTGGAGCAGTCACTATTGCCAAAAGGATGGTGTACTATGATGGACAGGCCTGACTTACTTGCACATTCCTGTGCCAGGAGTGGCTCCTGACTTTAGGGCTCCACAGTGCCACCAGGTACAGAAAAGGAGAGAGAGGTGATAAGCGCAAGCAGGAGACATCTATGTAGTGTTGATAACTTCCTTCATCTTGCTTTTGCACTGTCTGAATTTTGGAGTAAGAATCAGATCTGGGTTCTTATTTAGCTACTTACTAAATGTGTGACCTTGGGCAAATTCTTGGCTTTTTAAGCCTCAAATTTCTTATTTGTAAAATAGCGAATATAAATTATATGTTATTTTAAAATGATGAGAAGAGATATAAAATGCTTCGTGTTGTGTCTGGCATATTGTAAGCACTCAATAATTGTTCATTAGTAGTCTTTTTAGCTGTTTACTTATCAGTTTTTCTCTTCTACTGGGTTTTGCCTCTAACTTCCTATGTGAAGATATGTTTGGTCAAGATTTTAAAAGTTATTTATAAATAGAATACAAAATTTATTTCAATAATATAAAACATCTACAGTTATTACAATTATTAAAGTTACTCCTATAACAAATGATTCTAAGATACTTGTTTCAAGATTATACATTTTTTTTAATAATTAAATCTTTATTGTTCAGATTATTACATTTGTTCCTCTTTTTTCCCCCCCATAACTCCCCCCCTCCCAGTTCCCGCCCCACCCTCCGCCCTCACTCCCCACTCACTGTCCTCATCCATAGGTGCACGATTTTTGTCCAGTCTCTTCCCGCATCTCCCACACCACTTTCCCCCCCCCAAGAATAGTCAGTCCATTCCCTTTCTATGTCCCTGATTCTATTATAATCAACAGTTCATTCTGTTCATCAGATTATTCATTCACTTGATTCTTAGATTCACTTGTTGATAGATGCATATTTGTTGTTCATAATTTGTATCTTTACCTTTTTCTTCTTCTTCCTCTTCTTAAAGGATACCTTTCAGCATTTCATATAATACTGGTTTGGTGGTGATGAACTCCTTTAGCTTTTCCTTATCTGTGAAGCTCTTTATCTGACCTTCAATTCTGAATGATAGCTTTGCTGGATAAAGTAATCTTGGTTGTAGGTTCTTGGCATTCATCACTTTGAATATTTCTTGCCACTCCCTTCTGGCCTGCAAAGTTTCTGTTGAGAAATCTGCTGACAGTCGTATGGGTATTCCCTTGTAGGTAACTGAGTTTCTTTCTCTTGCTGCTTTTAAGATTCTCTCTTTG